TTTCTGAATGTTTCTATGTTTCTGAAAGCATTCCAGCAGAATAGGTGCTAAAGAGGGGAGAGGTATTTGGCTGAAGGAGAATGTATAGATTGATGATTAATAGATTTAGCTGAAAATTAGAAGGGAGAATCTTGAGGAACCCCTCATTGGAGCAGGAAGAGCAAAGTCCTGTTTGGGACAAAAAAGCTTTGGTTGCCCTGGGACAAAAGGGAATTACCGAATGCTGTGGCTGTAGGATGCAGAGTGGGTAGCCATTCCTACATGGCCCAAGAGTGGTGCTTGGCAGGGTGTGTTCTTAAAATTTCTCATCTTGAAAGAGCTTCTTTTGAAGAGTTTCAGTAGATTACAGGAAGCAGGCTATTTTCAGGTACCTCTCTTTGCCCCTCATCACCTCTTCCTTTGTTCATCTCATTCTGCCAGTTTCTATGAGAGATGAAAGATAGATACTCCCTGAATTGCTGTAAGTTCTATAGAAAGATCATAGTAGAGTTTTTGCTGTACCTTACATCTAGGTGTAATTATTTTTCTTCCCTTCTTTGGTATAGTAGAGAAAAAAGGCTGAACCTATACTTTTTTTACCCTATTTAATATCTTGTTTATGCCTTGAAGATTTATGATCTACAATCAAGTTCGGTACTTATTAAAACTACCACAAAATTTGAGGAGGAGGCTTTTTCTTGCATTACTGTATGCCTGCTGTGAAGGAGGGTGGAGGTTTGATGGCAGGTGACAGCTCCCATTGTGCTGCCTGGTTAAGCATAATTTAAAGCAGAGCATTAATAGTGCGCTGATCCAAAGTCAGCGTTCACATGAAGGTTTCTCATCTGGCAACCTGGTGTGTTTCTTCAGTTTGACAGAAAGCGTGACTAGCACGTAAATACATTCCTGTATCGTGTCCCCGCGCTGGAGCAGGGGATATTTCCTGAGGAGACGCAGCCTGCGGCGAGGACCCATGCTCCAGCAGGGAAGAGAGTGAGGTGGAAGGAGCAGCAGAGAGGAACTGTTACGTCCTGACCGCTAACCCCTATTTCACACCCCCCTGTGCTGGTAGAGGAGTTGGGGGTGAGGCTGTGCCTGGGAAGAAGGGGCGGGGGGGAAGGTATTTTAATTTATCTTTGTTTCTTGCTATCAGAACCCATTCTAATTGTCAATAAATTACAGTCATTTCACCCCAAGTCAAGTCTGTCTTGCCTTTGATGGTAAATGTTAGGCAATCCCCTGTGTTTACCTTGACCCATGACCTCTTCCATCTCATTTCTCTGCCTGGCCTGTTGAGGAGGGGGAGTGAGAGAGCAGCTGGGTGGGCTGTGCTTCCTTACAGCTTTGTATTTTTAGACATATTCATTGGCTCAACGGGTATCTTTTGCAAGCATTTTGTTCCTAAGTGTTTTCTGTATGCTATTTGCAGGTTTAAAAATTGACTGTATTAGTGTGCTGCTGTATTTTTCAAGTAACTTTTAGTGTATTTTAATTTCTTTTTCTTTTTTCCTGCTGAAAATAAACAACATGTTGCTTTTTAACCGATGAGTGAAATAAGTTCTTTATAGTGCTAATGTTTCTTAATGATAATTAGTCTATCCAGAGAAAGAAATCATAGTTTTAGATCAGGAGTTCCAAGAAGTAATCTTCTTGAAGAAAAACAAATAAAATACTTGTGGGCAGAATGTTTGATTTCAGAACTATTATCCTGCCATTACAAACAACAATTTGTATTAAGTTTTTTATTTTGTTTAGACTCCTTTTAGAAGAATCTATTGGTTTGGCCAAATCAAAAGCTTGATAAAAGAGGGTGTAAAGCCTTTCAATTATATTGTTTTTGTTAAAACTCAGTCCCAGGTGGAAGTGACTAATGATCGTTCCTATCTTGTGGTTGCTTAGTGATAATTGTGCAATAAATTCAACTTCAGTCCAGATCTCATAGCTGTATGATGCAGTGCTGTGGTTGGTAAAGTGCACTTATTTACAAGTTTCAGCAAAGGCCAAGGACAAACTAAACCTGGAAACAGCATGTTTCATCTCGGATGATGGTTGAAGGACTTTGGTGGAGCAGTATGAGGAAGTCTGCACAGTTTCTCCTTGTGTACTGTTCTGTTGAGAAAGTACTTTGTTGGCCAAGGTTGTCCATTTATCTAAATGCAGTGGTTTTGCTGTGGAGTGGAATTGTTCGAGATGTGGAAAAGGCTTCAATTTATTCAGTTCAACTTAGTAATAAATGGAATAAAAGAATAAGGATAGATACTCCCAGAAAGGTTTCTGTAGCTTACTTGTGGATTCTCATTTCTTTTACTGTCATGATTTCTGTTAATCAAAATAGTTGTAGATAGTACAGCGCATTTTAGCTTTGATTAATTTTGCAATTATATTACAACCTCAAAATTTAATTTATTTGGTGTTACATGCTCCGTGTTGTGTTGATTTGGTATTTTTCTTTATTCTTTCCTAGGATTCGTGTGATGGCAAATTTAATTGCAGTGCATGTCACTGATACGGTTTTATTTGTGTTGCATATCATCCAGTAAGACAGACTTATTCATTAGATGCATAAATTAGGTAGCAGAAGCAGCTAATGCTGAAATATCTTTTTTTGTTTAATTTTTGCTTTGTTAGTTTTCATATCACCTTTATTTTCGTTTCAGATCTTGAAGGTTGAGTATGAGTTGGCATATCACACCATTTTTCGAGTAATTTTGGGATTGTTGATTGTTAGCCAGTCGTGGAGACTTCCCAAGTAGAAGTCTAATTTCAGGTTCCTAGTTTTCAGGACTAGTCCAAATTAAAAAGTTTTTCCAGATGTTTCCTTCTTTATTACTTCCACAAGAATATCCTCTAACGTGCGGTGGGTAAGGTTTCCATTTGCTAAACAGAAATTTCGGCTTTCTAAGAAGGTGGCTTCATTTATGTCTGTTTATGTTGGGTTTTGACGCTGTTCTCAACTGACCTTCCTTAATACATTACACAGCCTTGGTTTCTAACTTAATACAAAACTCCTAAATTAGTCCTTAAAGGACTTCAAAGATAGCTTGTTAAGTACTATTCATTATGGTGATTGCTACCATAGTCTGCAGATACAATTCTTACCTAACTCTGCTGCTGTTCTCAGCAGCAGCAGTTAAAACTGGCACTGTATTTGTGCATAGCTCACTGTAGCAGCTGCCAAGCTGATGTGAATGATACATTCCTCATAGCTCTTCCTTATGTTTTATCGGTCTATTAAAATGGAGAAGTATTCAGCTGAACTTCCTTAGTAATAGCATTTGCAACTCTATATCCATCCCTCCCTCTCTCTTCCTGTGTCTCATGTGCCATGTTCCAATTTTAAATGTGGTCTTTGGTCCAAACTGCTGTTTGGACAACCATTTTAAAGTTACACTATTCTAATTTTATGCAGGATGATTTGTTGGTAACCATAGGTGTCTTCTATAGGGAAGAAATTACGCTCATTAAATGAGCTGGACATGGAGGGAGATCACTGAGCTGTATTGCAGTAGACTCATAGAGTGATTTGGATTGGAAGGGACCTCAAAGATCATCTAGTTCCAACCCCCCTGCCACGGGCAGGGACACCCTCCACTAGACCACGTTGCCCAAAGCCCCATCCAACCTGGCCTTGAACACTTCCAGGGATGGGGCCTCCACAACTTCTCTGGGCAACCTGTGCCAGTGCCTCACCACCCTCACAGTGAAGACTTTCTTCCTAACATCTAAATCTACCCTCTTTTAGTTTAAACCCATTACCCCTTGTCCTGTCACTACACTCCCTGATAAACAGTCCCTCCCCAGCTTTCCTGTAGGGCCCCTTCAGGTACTGGAAGGCCGCAATTAGATTTTCTCAGAGCCTTCTCTTCTCCAGGCTGAACAACCCCAACTCTCTCAGTCTGTCATCTTATAGACTACTTAAAGTCATTTAGCTTTAATTAATTAACAATTTTGTACAAATAAAGAAGCAGCACTCTTAAAATGCAAACTAACTTATCATTTGTGTATTACAAATGAATATGATAGTTCCCCCTGCCCATTCACCTTCTGCTGCGTGAAGAAAAAGCATGGTCTAAGCAAGTGTCTGTCTTAGTGGTTTGGTGTCTCTTGCTGATGGGTGATACCAGCAGAAGAGCTCCATCCTCCATCTCTGTGCCATTCAGTGCCACGCAGTGGGGACTTGGACCCGCTCCCTGTCATTATGATTTCCCTCCTGGGAAGCACAGAACTTGGCACTAAGGGATCTCCTGCGAGGGTTCTCTGCGGGGCGGGGGGGCAGGCTGGGGAGGCTGGGCTGTGCCAGCAGGAAACAATTTCCTGTGCCAAAGTCCTGCCTCAGTGAGGGAGTGCTACGATGGTATATGACTTTGAAGGGCCTTCTTTACTATCATTTAGGAGTAAACAGCAGAACTTGGCACTCAGGAGGCACTGTAATGTCAGTGTACGAGGTGGAGCCAGGAGTTGGTGGCGTTTCCTTTTCTAGCTCTTAAAGTTAAGTACTTTTTCTTTGTTAGAGCTTGCTGACTATCTAGATGCTTTTGTGATTTGAAGGAAGCTGAAGAGGGCTTTAAGTTCTTTCACCTTAAATATTTTGACAGTAAAGATGTTTCTTAACATCTAATTGGTATAAATTATGAAATTCTGAGATTTGTGTGAATGTTATTGTTGATTTCTTCTCTCACATCTTAAATCCATGTGACTTTTAGAGTTAAGATCACATGTGCATAGATGCACATGAATTTGCCATGCTTTCCTACTAGGCTGAGCATTATTAATGAGTTACACCTTGCTGTGTAACTTGCACCACACTGATGAAATGAATTAGTAAAATGAGAGCTACTTATAGCAAGCCAGTCCTGCAACCTGTGCTTACTGTTAATTCCTCTAAATGTAAAAATTCATTTATGGTTTCCCTCAAATGAGCAATGGGCACATTATATGTTTATTTGTGGTCTTTCTTTCATATTTTAAATGAGAAATAAAGCTATTTCTTTTTTTTTAAAAAAAAAGTATTTTTAACCAGCATGGCTGGTCAAATTAAACTTGAGTGTTGTAAAAGAACATTGGTAAGAAATCTATCATACTAAATATAAATAAAAAATGAAGAAACTTGCAGTACTGAAGTACTTAAAATTTTTCTGTGTTTAGTATGGACTAGGAAAGACTAGTTGGCAGAAATAGCAATGAACTACAATATAGCAACAGTAGATCATGAAAAGTTACAAACTTGTGTGTGTAAGCTTCTGTTAAATTTTACAAAGTAAATGAGAAGACAGTAATGGCTGGGGCAGGGCATAGTTGGACAGCGCCTGGTATAAGTTACATTTTTTTCCTCTCTAAACAAGTTTTCACTTTTCTTCAATTTTTAATTTTTTTCCCCTCCTTGTACAGTGGAGAGAATGAGGTCTTTTAAGTTGTAAAGGTTGATTGCATACCTACCTAAGGTACTGATGTCTAAACCAGTTTATTAACAGTCCATGTGGAATATTACGTATTTGATGTTGGTTGCAATGGATCTAGTCCAGTGTGGTGGGTTGACCCTGGCTGGACACCAGGTGCCCACCAAGCTGCTCTATCACTCCCCTTGTCAGCTGGACAGGGGGAAGGGAGAAAATAAGATGGAAAAAACCCTCAAGATAAAGGCAGTTTAATAAAGCAAAAGGCTGTGCATGGAAGCAAAGGAAAACAAAAGATTTATTCTCTACTTCCCATCAGTAGGCAATATCCGGGTACTTCCTGGGAAGCAAGGCTTCAGTACACATAGCGGTTGCTTTGGGAGACAAATGTCGTAATAACGAATGCCCCCTTCTGCCCCCCCTTCTCTCAGCTTTTATTGCTGAGCAGATGTCATATGGTATGGAATATCCCTGTGGTCAGTTTGGGTGAGCTGTCCTGGCTGTGTCCCCTCCCAAGATCTTGCCTACTCCCCACCCACTGGTGAGGGGGAAATGTTGGAGAGACAGCCTTGGTGCTGAGCCAGAGCTGCTCAGGAGTGGCCACAGCACTGGTGTGTTACCAACACCTTTCTACAAAGCACAGTGCTAGCAGGGGTGCTATAGGGAAAATGAACTCTATCTCAGCCAGACCTAATACATCTAGGTAAATGGCGTTGTTGATGTCTTATGATACAATGGGCTTTGGTTGCTTTATCTTTTATACTATTCTGACTACTTTTTTTTTTTTTAATGTAGCGGTATTTTCTTGTTGGAAGTAATCCTGCAGAAACCAAATACCGTGTTTTGAAAATAGATCGCACTGAACCAAAGGATTTGGTTATAATTGATGATAAGGTGAGTACCTCTCTATTTAGTTGGGTTTTTTCAGTTATTCCAAATAATACTGTCTATATTGGGCTGCATTTAAATATTACACATTTAATCTATTTCAACAAAGGTATGTTATAGAATCACAGAGTCATATAATAGTTGAGGTTGAAGGGGATCTCTGGAGATTGTCTAGTCCGACCCTCATGCTCAGAGCAATGTCAACTAGATCAGGTTGCTCAGGGCCATCCCCAGTTGCATTTTGAATATGACTGTAGACTCCACAGCATCTCTGGGTAACCTGTTCCAGTGTTCAACTGTCCTCACAGTAAAAAAAAGCTTTTTCTGATGTTCAAATGGAATTTCTGGTATTTCAATTTGTGCCTGTTGCCTCTTGTCCTTTGACTGGGTGCCACTGAGAAGAATCTGCCTCAGACTTCTTTAGTCCCTTCTACCAGGTATTTAGACACCTTGATAAGATCCCCTCTGAGCTTCCTCTTCTGCAGGCTGATCAATCCCAACTCTCTCAGCCTCTCCTTGTATGTCAGATGCATACAGTATTAGCATGACAATGACTATTTACAGTATGGGAGTGGTCACACGATCTCCAAACAGCACGTTCACTTTAATGAAATTTGCCCAAGTTTTTCAGTTTATTACATATAAGCTCCCAATGGTTTTATTTCATTCAGCTATGCTATTCTAAGTGCAAAATACATTTAATTACTATCTAGCCAAATTTTTAGTGTTTCTGATATATCGTATCTGAAGCAAAATAGCAGCAAGAGTTTTAATGTACATAATAGAATAAGACTTGATTCCTTTCCAGAAAGTTTATGGTTTAAAATCTTAACACTTAAGATTTAGAAATGTTTGAATTCACATGAGACCATGACTATTTCTATTGCAGTCAACGTGAATTTTGTGCATAAAAAACTTGTACTTGTTGGTAGGACTGAAACAGGAGACAGAGGATGTAGATCAGATATTTGGTATATTAAGTTAATTCTGCTATTCTCTGTCATGAAATAAAATTTACCTACCGAAGCAGTAACTTCAGTGAGTTTTTATTTTAAAGCATGTGTATACGCAACAAGAGGTGAGGGAACTTCTTGGCCGTTTAGACCTGGGAAACAGAACAAAGATTGGGCAGAAGGGCTCTTCTGGGTTATCTCGAGCTGTCTCTGCTTTTGGTGTAGTAGGTAAGTGTTTGTTTGGTTTTATAAAATCTTACTTCTTAAGGAGGTGAGGCTTACTGTGTCACGCTGTATGTCTTTCTGTCTCCCCTTGATTTTATTTTTTTTTATTAAACTGAAGAGGATTGAGAAATTTCATTCTCAAAGATAAATAAGTTTCTATGTATTTTGTGAAAACAGGTGACCAGTACGGGGGTGAGAGTTGTGCTGTAACTACTCTCTTTTTTTACTGCTAAGGAAGAGATGTAGGAAATAGCCAAACTCTAGAAGTTTGGTTGAAGATCTTGTCAAACTCAACTGACTGTAGGATACAAATCACCTGGAAATTGGCCTCCTGAATTCCAGAGTTCATGGGATGGTTTTTTTTTTTGTTTTTGTTTTTTTAAAAGAAAACAGAAGTTGACATCCTTTGTTAGGTTGTATTTCTTCATCACACACTATTCAGAAAGATGACTTAATTTTCTTTTTGGTTAACTTTTTGCAGTGACATATTTAAAGATTTATTTTTCGTGTTTGAACAAGTGTAACTGACTAGGATGTCAACTGAATTTTTAAATGCTGATTAGCTGTCCATAATCCTAGAGAATTGCTTCAAGGATTTAATAGCTTCTAAATTCATCTGAAAGTCACTACTTTCCTGCCTGTTGTCAGATACTGAGGTCAATATATTGACAGTGATATCTACAAAGTAAATGTTAATGTGTACTCTGACAGCCTCCAGGAATAGTTTGTGCTTTATTTGCATCAATATACACCTGGACATCTAAATCCAAAGCTGCAGAGGAGGTGGAGAATGCAATTACTTTAAAAGATGCTCCTGAATTTTGCATAACAACCAAAACATAAGAAAATATTAGTATTATTCTAGTGTAAAGTGACAGATTAAGCAAACTTTCTTCTGTATTCTTTTTGCCTATGAAGCATTTTGGAACTTATCAACGGATCCACTTTTCAGAAATTCCTCAGACAAGGTTTATGTTCCTTATTAGTTTAAGAGTATTAATAATATGGGTAAAACTAAAGAAGCTTCTAACAGTCTTGCAGCACTGACCTTTTTTGCACATGTGATAATATATTTGGTTGGAAAGTGGTTGTGTTCAACGAAAATTTTGCATCCCAATTGTATGTTTGTTTATATGTACTCTTCATAACAGGAGAGCTTCTATTCTGTAGCTGGGCAAATGTATTGGTTATCAGGTATGGTGTACTGAGTTATTTTTTTAGAAGTAACATGCTCTCAGTGATCTTCAGATTATCTTGCACTTTTAAAGTCTGTGCTTTAGATGTCTTCCATCTTGACATGTTTATACAGGTATGATAAACATATTTGAGGGAATGCAACTGGTCACTTATTTCTGCCTCCGGGCTCAGGTCAGGAGGACAGGGCTATTTTTTGTAGATATGGAAAGGACAGATTTGTTCTGTTCTCTGGTTATTTTGTTAACCAGAGGGAGTGCATTCAGTGCACTCAGAATGGGGGTGCTTATAGGCTAAGTTCTGTTTCACTGTATAGTGTTTAAAATAGAAATTGCTTTTAAATGGAGAGAACCAGGCCAAGGGAAAAGGCTGGCTTCCTTATCAGACTTTGGTATAATGTTTGGTGAAATTTAAAGAAGAGAGACTGTTCATGTAAGTGATTTCGGTACCTAGAGGATACTGGAAGAACTTTGCTATTAAACAACTGAAATTCAATAGTCTGGCTGCTTTGAATGGAAGGCTTTGTTTCTTATTGTCAGCAGGGTCCCCTGTCCTTGTGCAGGTGAGAGCATTTTTCCAAGGGGGGCTAATAAGGCTGAAAAAAAGATCGCAGTTCATTCGATCACGTTGCAGCCTCCAGCAGTGACAGGGAAGAAAATGTGTGCTTTGCTCATCCTTTGTCTTTAATATATAATGCAAAGCTAAAAGAACTGAATATAAGTACAAGTAAAAATGTGAATTGTGAGGCTTTTTCCCCCCCAATTAATATATTTGTTGACAGTGCAGCAGTGACTGAGTTTTAAGCTCTTTACTAGTAGCAAACCATCAAAGCAGCTACCTCCAAGAGCTAATTAATGTAATTTATTAGTTACTAAAACTTAGTATTACTGTATCACTGCCTATACTGTATTAAAAACAAATTTGAGTTCAGAAGTGGTTACGTATTTCTATTTTTAATTTAAATTTATACATTTGTACTGTATTTAAAGGTTTGTTATGTTTTTTTCCTAATGATATGTAATAGAAACATCCAAAGAAGCAACTCAGTGAAGAAGCATGACTATGCCCTGTAGCATTAGGGACTGAGGGTGGAGGTTTCAGAAGCTGCCTTTTTGTGGGCAGTAAAGCCAGACACTGCCTGTTCTACCTCCTTACCCCTCTGGACTTTGGTGGGGCCAAGTGTTGGTACCTGACAGAGCAAATAGAAAGAAAGGATTACCCTTGATGCTCTGAATAGCTAATTTGAGGGAGATGCTGCTGCAGACAGGGAATTTAATTCCCTGCTGTTAAGGAGAGAGAGCACAAAGGTGTTATAGTACCCACAACTCCTTTTGCTGTTCTGTGCCCCCATGTTCTGTTTCCACCCCCCCAGTAGAGAATGCATAAACCTGAAAACAAAATTGTGCATTGGGATTCCTCCTTTCCCTGGAAAACTAACCTTTTGGTATCTGCAGTAATTAGAGTATGCCTCGCTCTGAACAATGAGAGTGCTATAAAAAACAAACACAACTATCTTAAGTAGACAGCAACTTATTCTGAATTTTCAGTGTCTTAACTCTGCTACCTAATATTAAAAATATGCACAGTTGAAGGGAAAAAAGTAAAAACTACGTACTTCATTGATTAACACTTACTGGGGGTCAGTTGTAAGACTATGTATATTTTTGCATGTGTATATATATGCACATTTACATATAACATTAACAACAAATTCTATGAAGTCTTGAAACAATTCTGATACTGTTTTTCTAAATATATTTGATCAAATCAATGCAAACATTCAACTAACAGCATTTTAATGCTGTTTTAACAGGTTTTGTCAGGTTTTTAGAAGGCTACTACATTGTGTTAATAACAAAAAGAAGAAAAATGGCAGATATTGGAGGTCATGCAATATATAAAATAGAAGATACGAATATGATCTACATTCCAAATGACTCTGTAAGAGTCACTCATCCTGATGAAGCCAGGTAAATAATGGTGGTAAATAGTGTGTACTTTTTGAATATTTTGTAAGCAACTGTGAACTGCAACTAGAAATTTCAGTGATAGATTTTCTTCTGTTAGTATGTCATTCAAGCCATTTTATCCTAGTTGATAAATTAGTGTGGAAGAATGGAGAATGGGCGACAGGTTCTGTGGCCTCTAACCTGGAAGGTAAATGAAACTGTTACAGTCTTTCAGAGCTTTTTGTCCACATCTCCATGTCACCTACATGTCAAAGCTACATCCTAGCAAATGTGCACAAGGAAGCATCCAATATAAACACTTGTGTTCTTACAAGGGCAAAGGAAAGCTAATGATGGTTTGTATTGTTTGGGGTGCTGTTCTTTTGTTAGTAGCTCTAGCATCGTGTTAATCTCACCTGAAGAGATCTTTTGTGCCCCGATCTTTTGTGTCCTTCAAAAACTGCTGAGTAGATGATTTAATGATTCTGTGCTGTCAGAATCTTGTGAATTTTGCTGTTATAAAGGGTGATAAACTGATCCACTGGTAAGTACAGCATCTTTTTTCCTTTCTGTGACATTTTTCTGAAGAAAGAAATTTAAGCCTTTCATCCTCAGGGAACCTTGTATGAAGCATACAACTACATCTTGGTGGTGTTTTTATCAGGGTGGGCTAACCTTACTTCTATAAAATACCAGGCAAATGGTATCAATAAACTGCTTTTCAGTCTGTACCAAGTGTGAATAGTCAAAAAGTGATGGATTATAATAAACTGCTGTCAGGTAGTAAATCAAGCCAATGATAACTATTAAAGAAGTTTTCACTTTAAGGTACGACTAATGGTAAACCTCAGTCTCCCCTCTTAGAATGCAGCAGAGCATATTATCTAGCCATTTTATTATTCATAGACATATGGCTTCTGAGAATTTGCAAGGGTATGACAGGTTGAAGTAGATACTTCTTTTCTTGTTCATTTATTTGAGAATAACTGTGAAAATATTTAATTCTTGTATGGTATTGTTGAGTGTTTGCTTGTGTAAGTCTTAGAGAATTTGACACACATTTGTGGAAAATAGAACTACAATTTTACAACTGCCTAAAGAAACAGAGCATGTACATGAGTAGACACTGGATTAAAAAAAAAAAGGGGCTATTTGGTTTATTTAATCCAGATACTGACATTCTAGTGGAATTACCTGTCAAAACAATTACAATAAGATAGGAAGGGAACATCTGTCAAGAGACAGCATTTATCTGTAGTTTAGTTTCTGAAAAACTTCTTGGGGTCTGTGTGGTTAAACTAATAATTTTCCCTTTAACTTGAATTATTTTGCTAGGTATCTGAGAATCTTTCAAAATGTGGACCTTTCTAGCAACTTCTATTTTAGGTAGGTATTAATTACTGTCTCCTTTAAAAAAATCTGTACTTACACTTGCTGTAAGATTCTGCTTTTGGATTTTGATACCCACGATCTTTAGGTTGGTATTCTGGGGAAATAAGACACGTAGTCACACTGCTTGTCCATTTTCATCTGCCTCTTTTGAACCTGCTTTCTCCTTCAACAAATTGATTAGGAATGTAGTCTCCATGAAGTTAAAAACTGTAGAACTTTTAGTGGCATGGTAGAAGGTAGACACTGAAATTACTTTTTCCACTGACTGTTCAGCCTTGCCAGATTATGCAGAAGTTCTCTCTTTGGGAAAGTATTCTATTTCAGGGGGTTTGCTTGTCCAGTCAGGTTTTTTTCTTGATCTCATTTCCCAGAAAAAAAGCTTTGCCTTGATTCAGAAACAAAGATAGAGAAATAGGTCCTCATCCAAGATACACCCTGCATAGGGTACATCTTTCATAGGGCCTTCTAGCCATTAATGATTCTCTTGCTTATTGTATGATAAGTGCCACACCTAAGACAAGTTTCTGTTTCCCAGCTACTATTACACATGAGATCTTTGAGACAGCAGAAAGTAGTAGTTAGAAGACTTTAAGACTTAAAAAACTAAACAAAAACCCCCATGCAAGTACCAAAAGGTATATCAGTCTAGAAGATACTCCTTCTGGGAAAATAAAGGCTTTTTGTCACAACTGTATCTGTGAAGACAAAACCGTACGATGTTTCGTGTCTGTTTTGTTGTTTTGCATGGGAAGGCTTTTTCATAGTGTAAAACCTGAGTTTTTCGCCCAGGCTTTGTCTCCCAGTCCTAACATTATACAACTTTTTGTTCTCTGTCTGCTTGGAGATGATGAATGTATACTGTTTCTGTGGTTGTGCATAGAGGGGAAAGAAGATTCTTATATGACTCTCTGATAAACACATAAACAGCTTAATTTAAATTGTTCCTGGCTGAAATCATAGCGTATTTTTCTGCATGGTTTTAATATAAATCCTGAACAGAATTAGAAGTTATTCATAAGAAAACATTTGGTCTAAAAGGAAAATGGAGGAATAGAAGTCTTTTACTGGGATACTGTGTAAAGGTTCTGTTATATGCAAACTGAGCATGTAACAGATTATTCTTTTTCCCTGACAGATAAGCATGTCAGGTTGTTATTATGGAAATGTGGTAAATACATGGGTTAGACTTCGTTATTATTAGTGATAAATATAAATGTCCAATATTTAAATACATTTTTTTAGATCATTAATGAATATCTAGAACTTACAGGAGGGCCAGTAATCACTAATGCTGTCTTAGGCTAAAATGGAAATCTGTGTGTATTTCTGATTCGAGTGTTGGGTAAATTTGGTTTCTCCTTGGGGAAATGAATGCTAGTGGCTTATAAAATTTAGCAATTAGTGTTGAGTGTTGTCAGTATAAAAGACATGAGATGCAGAATTTGTTACTGTTATGGAACTGATTAAAAAAACCCAAAACAACCCTTTTGTTTATTCAGTAGCCACTGCCTTAAGATGCAGCTGTGCTGCAATCACAAATTTGATGACAGATACAGTTTTTGTGGAGCAAATTTTTGGCTGTTTTCAGTTCAGGTAGTAGTTAGAGTTGTACTTAAATCTAAGAAAAATTAGATTGTCTATGTATATGACTATTTCTGGTGGAATAGCTATTTTTGATCTTCAGGACTACTTCTTGGGACATAGTGAATTAAGTTTGATTTGCTTTGGTCAAAAGACATTTTCAGTTATAAGAAGAATATAAACACAATTTCAGCTATTGTACTGTAACCATCTTTTATGTTTGTAAAGCTTCCTTTGGAAATAATTTGTATCATTTGCCCTTATAAAATCAGAATCTGTGTGTCACGTTTAAAAGTGTTTTTGTGGATAAAATAGTACTGTGTTAAATATAAGTACAGATGGAGAATAAGAGCATTCAGAAAATTCCTGTGCATCTACAATTATTAATAAATGTTAACTGTTTATCAGTTACAGCTATGATCTATCTCACTCCCTTCAGTATAATCTTACTGTCCTGAGAATGCCACTTGAGATATTAAAAACTGAAACAACCCAGACCCGACAAGAGAGTTTTGATATATTTGAAGATGAAGGACTTTCAACACAGGGTGGAAGTGGTAAGCAAATATGCCTAATTAAACTAATGTTGTTGGTCATGAGTACATTTAAGTTTACTTTTGAGAAACATTTGGGTCTTCTGTATTGATCAATAGTCTCATAACAGTTGTGAGTTAATAAAAGATTATGTAAAGTGCCAATTACAGATATTTGAATTTGAACAATACAATTTCTAGAGGTGATTAATCATAGTTTTGTTAATTTACATTGCAACTCAGGTAGATAATTGAGCATACTGACATTTTTCAGCAATTGAATATTCAGCTGACTTGTAAGACTCCCAATAGGAATGAATTACAAAGAGAGTGGGAAGCAATAGCTGATTAAGTACTAATAAATCTTTTTTCTTTCATGTTGGAAATTATTGATGACAGAGGAATTGTATGAAGTTAGTATCACAGAATCGTAGAATGGTTTGGGTTGGAGGGGA